TCAGCCGTTAGCGACGTAGACAAATCTCGCCATACATTTAAAAACACACATATTCTACGATGAAAAATAGCGGAGAGTTTTATATAAGTAACACCACACACAATTTCAGTCGGGAAGGATATATCAAACATATAAGTAACACCACACACAATTTCAAACGGGAAGGATATATTACATATATAACTAACACCACACACAATTTCAGACGGGAAGGATATTTCAAACATATAACTAACACCACACACAATTTCAAACGGGAAGGACATATCACATCTATAAGGAACACCGCACAAAATTTCAGACGGGAAGGATATATCAAACATATAACCAACACCACACACAATTTCAAACGGGAAGGACATATCACATATGTAAGTAACACCGCACAAAATTTCAGACGGGAAGGATATATCAAACATATAACTAACACCACACACATTTTCAGACGGGAAGGACGTATCACATATATAACTAACACCACACGAAATCTCAGACGGGAAGGATGTATCAAACATATAACTAACACAACACACAATTTCAGACGGGAAGGACATATCACATATATAACTAACACCACACACAATTTCAGACGGAAAAGATATGTCACTTATATAACTAACACCACACAATTTCAGACGGGAAGGATATATTACATATTTAACTAACACCACGCACAAGTTAAGACAGGAAGGATATATTACATATATAACTAACACCACTCACAATTTCAGACGGGAGGGATATATCACATATATAACTAACACCACACAATTTCAGACGGGAAGGATATATCCCACATATAACTAACACCACGCACAATTTCAGACAAGAAGGATATATCGCATCTATAACTAACACTACTCACAATTTCAGACGGGAAGGATATATCCCATATATAACTAACACCGCACACAATTTTAGACGGGAAGGATATATCCCATATATAACTAACACCGCACACAATTTCAGACGGGAAGGATATATCCCATATATAGCTAACACCGCACACAATTTCAGACGGGAAGGATATATCCCATATATAACTAACGCCACACACAATTGCAGACAGGAAGGATATATTACATATATAACTAACACCACTCACAATTTCAGACGGGAGGGATATATCACATATATAACTAACACCACACAATTTCAGACGGGAAGGATATATCCCACATATAACTAACACCACGCACAATTTCAGACAAGAAGGATATATCGCATCTATAACTAACACTACTCACAATTTCAGACGGGAAGGATATATCCCATATATAACTAACACCACACACAATTTTAGACGGGAAGGATATATCCCATATATAACTAACACCGCACACAATTTCAGACGGGAAGGATATATCCCATATATAACTAACACCGCACACAATTTCAGACGGGAAGGATATATCCCATATATAACTAACGCCACACACAATTGCAGACAGGAAGGATATATTACATATATAACTAACACCACTCACAATTTCAGACGGGAGGGATATATCACATATATAACTAACACCACACAATTTCAGACGGGAAGGATATATCCCACATATAACTAACACCACGCACAATTTCAGACAAGAAGGATATATCGCATCTATAACTAACACTACTCACAATTTCAGACGGGAAGGATATATCCCATATATAACTAACACCGCACACAATTTTAGACGGGAAGGATATATCCCATATATAACTAACACCGCACACAATTTCAGACGGGAAGGATATATCCCATATATAACTAACACCGCACACAATTTCAGACGGGAAGGATATATCCCATATATAACTAACGCCACACACAATTGCAAACGGGAAGGATATATCCCATATATAACTAACACCGCACACAATTTCAGACGGGAAGGATATATCCCATATATAACTAACACCACACACTATTTCAGACGGGAAGGATATATCACATATATAACTAACACCACACACAATTTCAGACGGGAAGGATATATCAAACATATAACTAACACCACACACAATATTAGACGGGAAGGATATATCACACATATAACTAACACCACACATAATTTCAAACGGGAAGGATATATTACATATTTAACTAACACCACACACAATTGCAGACAGGAAGGATATATTACATATATAACTAACACCACTCACAATTTCAGACGGGAGGGATATATCACATATATAACTAACACCACACAATTTCAGACGGGAAGGATATATCCCACATATAACTAACACCACGCACAATTTCAGACAAGAAGGATATATCGCATCTATAACTAACACTACTCACAATTTCAGACGGGAAGGATATATCCCATATATAACTAACACCACGCACAATTTTAGACGGGAAGGATATATCCCATATATAACTAACACCGCACACAATTTCAGACGGGAAGGATATATCCCATATATAACTAACACCGCACACAATTTCAGACGGGAAGGATATATCCCATATATAACTAACGCCACACACAATTGCAGACAGGAAGGATATATTACATATATAACTAACACCACTCACAATTTCAGACGGGAGGGATATATCACATATATAACTAACACCACAATTTTCAGACGGAAGGATATATCCCACATATAACTAACACCACGCACAATTTCAGACAAGAAGGATATATCGCATCTATAACTAACACTACTCACACAATTTCAGACGGGAAGGATATATCCCATATATAACTAACACCACACACAATTTTTAGACGGAAGGATATATCCCATATATAACTAACACCGCACACAATTTCAGACGGGAAGGATATATCCCATATATAACTAACACCGCACACAATTTCAGACGGGAAGGATATATCCCATATATAACTAACGCCACACACAATTGCAAACGGGAAGGATATATCCCATATATAACTAACACCGCACACAATTTCAGACGGGAAGGATATATCCCATATATAACTAACACCACACACTATTTCAGACGGGAAGGATATATCACATATATAACTAACACCACACACAATTTCAGACGGGAAGGATATATCAAACATATAACTAACACCACACACAATATTAGACGGGAAGGATATATCACACATATAACTAACACCACACATAATTTCAAACGGGAAGGATATATTACATATTTAACTAACACCACGCACAAGTTAAGACAGGAAGGATATATTACATATATAACTAACACCACTCACAATTTCAGACGGGAAGGATATATCACATATATAACTAACACCACACACAATTTCAGACGGGAAGGATATATTACATATATAACTAACACCACGCACAATTTCAGACGGGAAGGATATATCCCATATATAACTAACACCACACACAATTTCAGAGGGGAAGGATATATCACATATATAAGTAACACCACACACAATTTCAGACAGGAAGGATATATCACATATATAAGTAACACCACACACAATTTCAGACAGGAAGGATATATCACATGTATAACTAACACCACACACAAAATGAAAGACACCACCCACTCCACATCCCTCCGCTCCACTCCGCTCATTCACTCACTAGCCCTACTGCGCTCTGCTCCGCTCACTCGCTATGCTCCGCTCCAGTCCATCCAATTCCATTCCTCTCACTACGCTCCACTCTATTTCTCCCAGCTCACTCCTCTCCACCCACCTCCGATCCAATACTCCACTCATCCGCTCCGCTCACTCACCTGCTCCACTCCACTCACCTCCACTCAAAACCAACCACATAGCTCCATCCACCCATTCCTCTACAGTCAGCTCCTCTCCCTACGCACCACTCACTTACTCACTCACTCTCACTCACATACACCACCCCCACAACTCACTAATCTCCACTCCTGTCCAATCCACTCACTTTGCAACTGCTATTCCTATTTCGTAAAAATACTTTCCATGTTTTTTAAGTGTGGTGGGGAGCCTTTTGCTGCGAATATTTTTGGTGCAAACATTGTACATTGATTACTTTATTCTGTTTGTCACAGTGCAACACCACACCACACTGTGTATGTAGCAGTGAAAAAAACATGTCATTTTCTGAATGAGAAATTCAAGAACCTGAATCACAGGCATCTCAACAATGAAAGTTCAGAAATGGAGTCCACCTCCTGTGTTTTTTACTGTATTGAGATTTGATACAGAGGAACAAGGGGAAAGACGACTTATGTTAATTTCCAACTCTGTGTAAATGGAAACCTGTAAATGGAGAAATGATTGACAAAATAACTTTCAAAGTGACGTAGATGCCATAGCTTCATTAAACATTTATTACAATGTTATCATGTACGGAGTTTCATGCACAAAATGGACATTCGTTTAGTAGAATTTATTTTTTATTCATAACATATCTTCTGAGGATCTTACTGGAATTTCAAGATTTCTCCTGGCTTGCATCATTACTCCCATATCACTGGCCAGCAAATTTGTACGGGGAAATATTTAGACATGCAGAGGGTCACTTAATTTGAAACATTAGCTTAAGCGGTGGGGGGAAAGCATTTTCATTGTATTAAAATTTTATCCCATCACCACCCCCCCACCCCCCACCTACCCCATTAGCCGCCATAAATTATGAAAGGCCTCTTAAATGGGTTTGTGTATGGTGGTCAACATTCAACTGCTGGTGATCTATAGCCTGTTCTTATATCGTACTGTTGTCTCTCGTGATATATTTTTATAATAGCGTTCTAGTTTTAAATTAAGAGCTGTGATATTCTAATAGTTTTACTGTCCTTCGATGACAGGTTTTTTACGTTATACATTTATTGATTTGAATATTAATATCAACTGTTCTCGACATGGCTGCAATATTGCCGATGTGACGTTAAATTTTAACTCACTCACTCATTAAATGGGTTTGTTTCTTACTTTCTAAATTGTAAATATTCAGAGACGAAGCGTTAGTCTTGTACAGGTATGACACAGCGATATATACATATCACGTGATCAGAGACCCGCACAGTTGCTTATGTTACCAGTCTGAGGCGAGTGTCGGGAAGGACGGTTGGGTTTACTGTTGTGGGCCTGCTTACATGTGTATGTAGTTTACATGCGTGTGTGTACAATGGCTAGTACATTCAACAGGTATCGAAGCAGCAACCACGCAAGCTCATTTTTTTTCCGACAAGATATGAACTGTTCACGGCTCACACCGCCCACGGTAGTGCCTGTAAGTACTCGTCAAACAGGTATCCATGTTGTATATTCTCATATCGGTTAGACTTGCAGTGTGTGTTCGCATGGTATAAACACGACTGTGATGTATCGTTCACGACTGTAATGTATCGTATGGACTGAGCTACTTTGCGGGGAGGGAGTTATCTGTGTATATCACCAGGTAAGATGTCGGCGATCATTTAGTAGCGCGGCTCGTGTGTTGAGTCGTCGTGACCTAAATCCCCACCTTTCGGACCTCCACCCCACGCCTACCCCGCCATTGATCCACTGTGCTGGTTGTGTATTGTGTATTGTCGCCTCTGTCAACCTGATGAGGCGCTTCTCTCGTTATAAATAGCTCCTCCGCCTCACCTGTGCCTGTAAGCACTCGCCAAACGGGTCGCCATGTTGTATATTCTCGTATCGTCTAGAGTTGCAGCGTGTATTCGCGTGGTATAACACGACTGTAATGTACCGTACACGACTGTGATGTATCGTACACGACTGTAGTGTATCGTATGGACTGGGCTACGTGGCGGGGAGGGAGTTATCTGTGAATATCACCAGGCAAGATGGACGCGATCATTTAGTAGCGCAGCTCGTGTGTTGAGTTGTCGTGATCTAAATCCGCTCGCCATCAAGCCAGGGTTTGTGTATTGTCGCCCGTCGCACCTTTCCAACACCATACACCATCATGCACTAGTGTTATACTTTTGAGGGATGATCAACTTCACACTAATAACAATTGTCCTAACACAGTTTCGTGATTCTTATCTGGAGTTGGTCCAGATATAGTGAGTGAGTGAGTATCCTCAAACATCTTACGGTTTTGTTTCAATTCACGTGCACGACCCATAGCTCGTCTGGTGGTAGTAATTTCATGTACATGCACTGAGTATATAGTGTCCGCATGGATGTCACCTCACTCACTCCATCAATCGCTGTAAAACCCCTCTGTGCCGCTTGAAAAGCCGCCTCTAAAGTCTCAGTTACGGTCCATCGATCACGCACCATTTCACCATTGCTGTTTGACAGTCTGTACACACGTCTCCGGATGGTGTCCTCCCATTTGTGAGAACTCCCAGTTGTGAGACACATTAATTAATGGTTCGTTGCACACAGGTGGTGCTTCCTCATCCCTACGATGAAAGTGGGAACAGCCCTGTTGCTGAAAAGTACCCACAGGAGGCATAGTTCATTAATGAGCATTTATTGTTTTCAATAAAGAACAAGTTAAATACTGAAATACTGAAAAAGATTATCATTATATTTACACAGAAGAAATAGATCATTAAATATTTCATTATGATTTTTGATTCACACATTTTGATGATTTAAGTTATTATGATGTTTGTGTGTCATTATAAAACACTTTTTTACATGGGTCCATATTTGGAGATTTTGACACTTTTCATATTGATCAAGAAGTTACCTACACAAAGTGTTTATTTTTTAAAGCCATTTACCTGAGTAGGTTAATTACTTTATCTTTTATGCTACCTCCACAAGATTCAGTTAAATAGCTAATTCCTAATTAGCTGGGGTTAATCCATTCAATCAGATAGGGGAGTAAGGTGTGTTTTCTTTAGTTACCTACTGCACTGTCTCACAACTGGGAGTCTCACAAGTGGGAGTTCTCACAAATGGGAGTAGACCTCCGGATACTCATTCTGATGCTGAAAATAGATAGAGAAATGGCGCGTGGTCCTGTGCTCAAAGCTCAGGTCACAAATCGGTGAAGTTAAGCAGCGTCGAGCTCGGAGAGTCGTTGGATGGGTGACTGTGGACTGTCCTTGGATGGGTGACTCCTGAGAGTTTCTAGGACTTCAGTCCTGCCCCACAACGAAGCACATGTGACACATGTGGTCTCACCTTGGGCAAGTGAGTTTGTTTAACTTTGTCTCTGTTCACCCAGCAGGAAAATGGGTACCCGGTGGAAAAAAGTCATATGACTGTAACCTTCTAGCGCCTAACAGGCGGCTTGGGGTATCCGGGGTAATAATGGTGCCTTGATTGTTAGCGCTATGAGCATACCTAGTATGGAGTTTGGCGCTATATAAATGGACACATTATTATATAAGGGACACTATGACTGGCATCAACTAACACATACCGCTTGTTATCTACAAGGGTCAATGCCAGTTTGTTTTGTGTCTGTGTGTACAAAGTGTTACTGTGTGACCGAATCAGGTAAAAAGTACACATAACCGTTTCACTGTCAAACAGCGATTCTAAACTTTAAACATGCCATGTCTAAGAACTGTCTTGACTGATTTCTTAATGCCTTTGGCTGTCTTTTTTGAGTCACTGTTTTTTGCATCAGGAAAGAATGCAGTTTAATTTCAACTCTACAAACAATAATATGATGCTTTCACCTGCGTCGGGGTGGTGGGGTGGCCAAGTGGGTAAAGCGTTCGCTTGTGACGCTGAACACCTGGGTTAGATACTCCACATGGGTACAATGTGTGAAGCCCATTCATTGTGTCCCCCACCTTGATATTGCTGGAATATTGCTACAACGAGCGTAAACCTAAACTCACTTCACCTGCTTCGTCCTTCATTTTACCAGTCACCAGTTATTGAGTTAATTTTTTTTCTGAACAGGAGACCAAGCGACATCATGAAAGAACGTACATGTCGGTTACTTTTCCAAACGCCTACTACCATGTCAGTGGATCCTCCCGCGGTAACACTTTTTGGGTTGTACGTCTGTTAAAACAAGCCAACATCATGTTTGATCATGCACCCAATTTGATTATTTACTGTTATGCAGTGTGGCAAGATGTCTATGGAGAATGGAGAAGTCCATTCCAAACATTCGATTCCTGGATTCCCTTCCTACAGAAGAGGAGTTAAAAAGATATTATTTAGAATCAGATAAATGATGTATGTTGGTAGTAGATGGCTTCATGCAACAGGTTTGTTAAAGGTCAATTGTTTTTACATCCTAATACCACACTATCACGATCTGGAAATTCCTGTAATTAACATACAACAATCAGCTTATCCAAAAGGAGAATGTAAAAGAACTATGTGACTAAACACACATCAGTTTGTGTTATTCTCCAAGCCTCGTTTAGCACATGAGTATAATATTTTAGGACAAGCAAAGTGTTTTTCAGAATCTTTTCAAGATGCTGTAGGTAGAAAGAAATATGGTTGTCTGGTGTCGGATTCCTTCCCCTTTGCTGATGAACACTATGGGCGTTTGAGTACAGTGATATTCCCTGATGAGGTGTGCACAGTGTACCTGCTGCAGATGTAGGGTGTTTAGTGTTTGAAATACATAATCTCATATACATACATGTTACATCATTTCACTTTCAACACTCAAAGTGAACAGAACCATGGATGTGAGTGGTCGAGTCGATGATCATGCTTCAGTACCAGACTGGGCAATAATAATACATTTCGACACACGATTAGTGTCTTTCAACAGTCATTGCAGAAGCAGGATTTATGTACACAGGCCATCTGACAAGGTCTACTGTTTCAAATGTAGACTACGAGCACATTCTTGGATACCAGAAGAAGATCCTCTAACTGAACATTTCAGACTGTTTCCACACTGTACCGTGATTCGCTTTTTCATCATATTACCTCAACGTATACGTTCTCCAGTAGGTTTGGCAAACCTTTAAGACATTTACATGTTGCAAAACATCTTACCAGAGAAAAGACAAAACAAAGACTGTAAAAAATACTTATATACTGAGCAGCAAAAGAAACGCAAGGCTGGATTTTTGTCAAGTTTGTGAATAGAAGACAACCAAAATCACGTCCCATCATTTATTCTATAACCAAAACACTGTTAATTTAACAGCTGAAAGTTGCTGTTGACATTGAATTGCAACAAGTTCAAATTGATCACAGTCCGTCAAATGGCGATACCCCAGAACGCGAAAAGTGACAGTCTCTTTAGTCGCGTGTATGGCCACCTTGAGCTTGCACACAGGCCGTGCAACGTGGCCTCATTGAGTTCATTAGAGTCTGAAAGAATGCCTGAGGCAATTGGTTCCGCTCAAACACCAATCTCTATTATAATTGTGCAAGTGTGAGTGGCTGTCTAACTGCACCAATCTTCCGTCCAATTTCGTCCCAGAATGTTCAATGGGAGCCATATACGGGGGAAGAGACGGCCATGGAAAAACGTTAATGTTGTTTTGAGCCAGGTAATCCATCGACACCCCTGCTGTGGGAGGGCTGCAAACGTCGCTGGCATTGTTGGCGTGTCAAAATTGGCCCCACATATGGCCTTCAGCAGTAGATTCCAGCAGCCCGAAGATGACGCCTAATCGTATCGCTGGACACTGCTCCCCTTGACCCATGAACTAAGGCTGCTGTTACTGTTGGTGCTTGAGTTCGGTTCCTTAGATGAGAGACCTGGATGAACCGATCTTGCGCATGAGATGTCACTTGTTGCCGTCCGGTACGGGGACGATCAGCAGCAACCCCGGTTTGCTGATGACGTTGACCAAGATGACAGCCCAATTGTCTAGCTACAGCGGTTGCAGAGCTACATCTGTGCAACTTTCCAATGGCCATTCCCCTCTGCTCAGTCGTTAGGCATCGTTTGTGTGGCGTGTACATCTCCTAGTGTCCATACTGAACTGTTTTTTGACACAAACCTTTATAAAGGATACCTCGGAGTGAAATGCATGCTCTTCATCCGGAACCATCGATGCACGTGCTAAAATTATGGTTTTGCTTCACTGTTGGTGTGTTTGTGCGAATGGTTCGTATGGACGTCAAATTGCATGACATCATCTCATCTTGGATCATTACATCACTTTACCATGAACGTTCCATAAACATGAACGCTCACCTTCATGAAATTTCATTTTTTTTCGAAACTTTCTTTTGCTGTTCAGTATACATAAAAATACGAAGCAACAAATGGAGTTACTGCAAAATTTAAACAAAATATAGAAGCATACTAGCCTCTTGTAGTTTCAATGATCTGTGCACACTTTAAAGTTATTAAATTTGATCCTTAATGTACATCTGACATCAATGAAATATAAAGTTATTGAATTTGATCTGTAATGTACATCCGAAATTATTGAAAAATAGTGTTTTCTATTCAATGCAATTTTTTTTACATATTTGCAATTGAAGCATCTGCTTTCGAGATGAGGACAGAAAATATGTGTGGCAGGGATTTAAAACGACCACTGGGCTGGTGTTCAATGTTTTTATTCTGCCATTTGTCATCGTGGTACAAACACGAGCGTGCCATAAACCTGTAATTAGGAAATTACGTAGAGGGCTGACACTGCTAGCATGGTGCGTCTCTTTATAGATCAATAAAAGTAAAACTATTGCTACATTTTAAATAATTATTAGATATAAATAATTATTAAAGTTAATTGTTACTAAACCATTATTAAGTATAATTATTATTATACAGGATTACACCTGACTAATTATGAGAAATTGTTTAATATGAACAATTCGAACAAACTTGCAAACCTGTAATTAGGAAAAACAGATGGCTGCCACTGCCAGCACATGGCACATGCAGCTTTTATATCACCTGTGTGCACAGACTGCTGGAGCAGCATGTGCCAGAACCCAGGATGTACCTGCCGGCAGTCAGGTCAACTATGGCAAGCTGAGTCCCATCCGGGATTCAGACACCTAATCGCCAGCACACAAAGTCAGACGCCTAGACCGCTCAGCCACCGCGGCTTCCACATGGAAGTCGGACAACTGGTAGTCTAGACTATATGGAAGCCGCGGTGGCTCAGCTGAGAGTTCAAGTTTGCATTAATAAACATTGTAAGTACATACTCGGAATGAGTTTTACTTAAAAAACATATATTCATTACATTGCCATTTAAAAGTAGAAAAAGTACCACGCAAATAGGGCGTTGGTCTGTTCGCATGACTTGCTGCTGGACATGGTGGTGGTAGAGCCATAATAGGTTGCCAATGACTCGGTTGGTTCATGCGAGTGGGTGATATTGGTTTTCCATGACCAACAGGTGGGTGGCCTGTAGGTGGCCTGATCTGGTTTCCGTGTCCAGCTGGTTGTATTGGACCCTGCTCTTCTCTTTCTGTTCTTTTTAAAACTTTTCACAATATTCTTTAATTATTGGTTGGTTTTCTAATATGTTGATTTGTTCATCTCTCGAAGTAAGAGTTTGTTCTATAATTATGTTTTCACTTATTTTCAGTACAACTGACACTTTCAAAAATTCTTCCTTTTCAAAACTCTTTCAAAGATGCACAGAAATAATCTATACACACACCACGTCTCACTGAGTATGTATTGAAATAGTGTTCTATTGAAAAAATATCACGACAACTCACAGTCTGCCTTTACTTTTTGGGTGGAGTTTATGGGTAGGGATTAATTTACACTAAAAACATTAACGTAAGATAAACTAAAATTTGCTTACCACGCGAACAGGGCGTTGGTCTGTTCGCATGACTTGGTGCTGGATAGGGTGATGGTAGAGCCATAATTGGATCCCATGACCAATAGGTGGGTGGCCTGTCGGTGGCATGATCTGGTTTCCGTGTCCAGCTGGTGGTATTGGAGACTGCGGTGGGAGACTGCTCAAGGCACCGCTGGGGGCCTGCGTTGGTGATTGTGACAACACACTCGTGAGAGGAGCAACCGCTGTTCCTGGTGGAATTACTATGTCTGGCTCAGGGATGTCAGCAGGCAGGTGCTGCAGCTCAAATTCCTCCACTTTAGCAATGTAGTCTTTCCCCGTCCCCATCAGTAACTTGAACACCTCCGAGGTCATGGATATTGACTTCTTCACCCCTCTGCTGTTCCAATTAGTAAGGTGTGTATATATAACCCTATTAAAGCTATTCATTGAGAGGTAATGTCCCTCAGCAAACTGATACATGTTGCTTTCAGTTATTTTACATATTTAGTAATATTACTCAAAGTAAAACAAATAAAATTTAAGACTTACCTAATGAGAACAATACAGAGTTTGCATACACACTCCGCTGTTGTCATCACATCACTAATGCTTTCTCATTTTAATAATTCCAGTGTTAGTCTTTTCAGTTTCTTTGGTCTTTACACCCAATGTTTTCAGCCTCTTCACGTTCGCTTTCTTTGCCTTCTCTTTCGCGTTTCTGACGTACCCATCTCTTATTCATTACACAATAACTGTAGTTCTAATATATTCTTATAAAAATCATTTACACAAATTACGCATTTATTGATTTACATAAGATAAACTAAAATTTGCTTACCACGCAAATAGGGCGTTGGTCTGTTCGCATGACTTGCTGCTGGACATGGTGGTGGTAGAGCCATAATAGGTTGCCAATGACCCGGTTGGTTCATGGGAGTGGGTGATATTGGTTTTCCATGACCAACAAGTAGGTGGCCTGTCGGTGGCCTGATCTGGTTTCCGTGTCCGGCTGGTTGTATTGGACCCTGCTCTTCTCTTTCTGTTCTTTCTAAAACTTTTCACAATATTCTTTAATTATTGGTTGGTTTTCTAATATGATGATTTGTTCATCTGTCGAAGTAAGAGTTTGTTCTATAATTATGTTTTCACTTATTTTCAGTACAACTGACACTTTCAAAAATTCTTCCTTTTCAAAACTCTTTCAAAGATGCACAGAAATAATCTATACACACACCACGTCTCACTGAGTATGTATTGAAATAGTGTTCTATTGAAAAAATATCACGACAACTCACAGTCTGCCTTTACTTTTTGGGTGGAGTTTATGGGTAGGGATTAATTTACACTAAAAACATTAACATAAGATAAACTAAAATTTGCTTACCACGCGAACAGGGCGTTGGTCTGTTCGCATGACTTGGTGCTGGATAGGGTGATGGTAGAGCCATAATTGGATCCCATGACCAATAGGTGGGTGGCCTGTCGGTGGCATGATCTGGTTTCCGTGTCCAGCTGGTTGTATTGGAGACTGCGGTGGGAGACTGCTCAAGGCACCGCTGGGGGCCTGCGTTGGTGATTGTGACAACACACTCGTGAGAGGAGCAACCGCTGTTCCTGGTGGAATTACTATGTCTGGCTCAGGGATGTCAGCAGGCAGGTGCTGCAGCTCAAATTCCTCCACTTTAGCAATGTAGTCTTTCCCCGTCCCCATCAGTAACTTGAACACCTCCGAGGTCATGGATATTGACTTCTTCACCCCTCTGCTGTTCCAATTAGTAAGGTGTGTATATATAACCCTATTAAAGCTATTCATTGAGAGGTAATGTCCCTCAGCAAACTGATACATGTTGCTTTCAGTTATTTTACATATTTAGTAATATTACTCAAAGTAAAACAAATAAAATTTAAGACTTACCTAATGAGAACAATACAGAGTTTGCATACACACTCCGCTGTTGTCATCACATCACTAATGCTTTCTCATTTTAATAATTCCAGTGTTAGTCTTTTCAGTTTCTTTGGTCTTTACACCCAATGTTTTCAGCCTCTTCACGTTCGCTTTCTTTGCCTTCTCTTTCGCGTTTTCTGACGTACCCATCTCTTATTCATTACACAATAACTGTAGTTCTAATATATTCTTATAAAAATCATTTACACAAATTACGCATTTATTGATTTACATAAGATAAACTAAAATTTGCTTACCACGCAAATAGGGCGTTGGTCTGTTCGCATGACTTGCTGCTGGACATGGTGGTGGTAGAGCCATAATAGGTTGCCAATGACCCGGTTGGTTCATGGGAGTGGGTGATATTGGTTTTCCATGACCAACAAGTAGGTGGCCTGTCGGTGGCCTGATCTGGTTTCCGTGTCCGGCTGGTTGTATTGGACCCTGCTCTTCTCTTTCTGTTCTTTTTAAAACTTTTCACAATATTCTTTAATTATTGGTTGGTTTTCTAATATGTTGATTTGTTCATCTGTCGAAGTAAGAGTTTGTTCTATAATTATGTTTTCACTTATTTTCAGACAAATAACACTTTCAAAAATTCTTCCTTTTCAAAACTCTTTCAAAGATGCACAGAAATAATCTATACACACACCACGTCTCACTGAGTATGTATTGAAATAGTGTTCTATTGAAAAAATATCACGACAACTCACAGTCTGCCTTTACTTTTTGGGTGGAGTTTATGGGTAGGGATTAATTTACACTAAAAACATTAACATAAGATAAACTAAAATTTGCTTACCACGCGAATAGGGCGTTGGTCTGTTCGCATGACTTGGTGCTGGATAGGGTGATGGTAGAGCCATAATTGGTTGCCCATGACCAACAGGTGGGTGGCCTGTCGGTGGCCTGATCTGGTTTCCGTGTCCAGCTGGTGGTATTGGAGCCTGCGGTGGGAGACTGCTCGAGGCACCGCTGGGGGCCTGCTGTGGTGATTGTGACAACACACTCGTGAGAGGAGCAACCGCTGTTCCTGGTGGAATTACTATGTCTGGCTCAGGGATGTCAGCAGGCAGGTGCTGCAGCTCAAATTCCTCCACTTTAGCAATGTAGTCTTTCGCCGTCCCCATCAGTAACTTGAACACCTCCGAGGTCATGGATATTGACTTCTTCACCCCTCTGCTGTTCCAATTAGTAAGGTGTGTATATATAACCCCATTAAAGCTATTCATTGAGAGGTAATGTCCCTCAGCAAACTGATACATGTTGCTTTCAGTTATTTTACATATTTAATAATATTACTCAAAGTAAAACAAATAAAATTTAAGACTTACCTAAATGAGAACAATACAGAGTTTGCATATACACTCCGCTGTTGTCATCACATCACTAATGCTTTCTCATTTCAATAATTCCAGTGTTAGTCTTTCCAGTTTCACTGAACATTTGGTCTTTAAACCCAATGTTTCAGCCTCTTCACGTTCGCTTTCTTCGCCTTTCCTCTTTCAAGCGTTCTCTGACGTACCCATCTCTTATTCATTACACAATAACTGTAGTTGTGATATATTCCGCTCCAAATTAAATGTAGTTCTCCATAGCAGTCGAAAGTTACATGAGGATGAATATGCAGTCATGGCACAAATACCTTTTATTGTTATAACTTGATATGCAATTGGTGCAGGAGAATTCCATATGAACTTCTTTCTATGAACAAACATACACTTATAAAATCATTTACACAAATTAAGCATTAATTGATTAACATAAGGTAAACTAAAATTTGCTTACCATGCGAATAGGGTGTTGGTCGGTTCGCATGACTTGGTGCTGGATATGGTGATGGTAGATTTAGCATTAACATATATAATAGGCCATAATGACCCGGGTCTGGTTCATGGGAATGAGTGATATTGGTTGTCCATGACCAACAGGTGGGTGGCCTGTCGGTGGCCTGATCTGGTTTCCGTGTCCAGCTGGTGGTATTGGAGCCTGCGGTGGGAGACTGCTCGAGGCACCGCTGGGGGCCTGCGTTGGTGATTGTGACAACACACTCGTGAGAGGAGCAACCGCTGTTCCTGGTGGAATTACTATGTCTGGCTCAGGGATGTCAGCAGGCAGGTGCTGCAGCTCAAATTCCTCCACTTTAGCAATGTAGTCTTTCGCCGTCCCCATCAGTAACTTGAACACCTCCGAGGTCATGGATATTGACTTCTTCACCCCTCTGCTGTTCCAATTAGTAAGGTGTGTATATATAACCCCATTAAAGCTATTCATTGAGAGGTAATGTCCCTCAGCAAACTGATACATGTTGCTTTCAGTTATTTTACATATTTAATAATATTACTCAAAGTAAAACAAATAAAATTTAAGACTTACCTAAATGAGAACAACACAGAGTTTGCATATACACTCCGCTGTTGTCATCACATCACTATTGCTTTCTCATTTAAATAAATCCAGTGTTAGTCTTTTCAGTTTCACTGAACATTTGGTCTTTAAACTCAATGTTTCTGGCCTCTTCACGTTCGCTTTCTTCGCCTTCTCTTCCTTTCTCTTTCGCGTTCTCTGACGTGCCCATCCCTTATTCAAAACACAATAACTGTAGTTGTGATATATTCCGCTCCAATTAAATGTAGTTCTCCATAGCAGTCGAAAGTTACATGAGGATGAATATGCAGTCATGGCACAAATACCTTTTATTGTTATAACTTGATATGCAATTGGTGCAGGGAGAATTCCATATGAACTTGATATGAACAAACATACACTTATAAAAATCATTTACACAAATTACGCATTAATTGATTAACATAAGGTAAACTAAAATTTGCTTACCATGCGAATAGGGTGTTGGTCGGTTCGCATGACTTGGTGCTGGATATGGTGATGGTAGAGCGATATAATAGGCCATAATGACCCGGTCGGTTCATGGGAGTGAGTGATATTGGTTGTCCATGACCAACAGGTGGGTGTCCTGTCGGTGGCCTGATCTGGTTTCCGTGTCCAGCTGGTGGTATTGGAGCCTGCGGTGGGAGACTGCTCGAGGCACCGCTGGGGGCCTGCTGTGGTGATTGTGACAACACACTCGTGAGAGGAGCAACCGCTGTTCCTGGTGGAATTACTATGTCTGGCTCAGGGATGTCAGCAGGCAGGTGCTGCAGCTCAAATTCCTCCACTTTAGCAATGTAGTCTTTCGCCGTCCCCATCAGTAACTTGAACACCTCCGAGGTAATGGATATTGACTTCTTCACCCCTCTGCTGTTCCAATTAGTAAGGTGTGTATATATAACCCCATTAAAGCTATTCATTGAGAGGTAATGTCCCTCAGCAAACTGATACATGTTGCTTTCAGTTATTTTACATATTTAATAATATCACTCAAAGTAAAACAAATAAAATTTAAGACTTACCTAAATGAGAACAATACAGAGTTTGCATATACACTCCGCTGTTGTCATCACATCACTAATGCTTTCTCATTTCAATAATTCCAGTGTTAGTCTTTCCAGTTCCACTGAACATTTGGTCTTTACACCCAATGTTTTCAGCCTCTTCACGTTCGCTTTCTTCGCCTTCTCTTTCGCGTTTTCTGACGTACCCATCTCTTATTCATAACACAATAACTGTAGTTGTGATATATTCCGCTCCAATTAAATGTAGTTCTCCATAGCAGTCGAAAGTTACACGAGGATGAATATGCAGTCATGGTACAAATACCTTTTATTATTATAAATTGATATGAAATTGGTGCAGGGAGAATTCCATATGAACTTAATATGAACAAACATACATTTATAAAAATCATTTACACAAATTAGGCATTAATCGATTAACATAAGATAAACTAAAATTTGCTTACCACGCGAATAGGGCGTTGGTCTGTTCGCATGACTTGCTGCTGGACATGGTGGTGGTAGAGCCATAATTGGTTGCCCATGACCCGGTTGGTTCATGGGAGTGGTTGATATTGGTTGTCCATGACCAACAGGTGGGTGGCCTGTCGGTGGCCTGATCTGGTTTCCGTGTCCAGCTGGTTGTATTGGACCCTGCTCTTCTCTTTCTGTTCTTTTTAAAACTTTTCACAATATTCTTTAATTATTGACTGGTTTTCTAATATGATGATTTGTTTATCTGTCAAAGTAACAGTTTGTTCGATCTGGTTTCCGTGTGCAGCTGGTGGTATTGGAGCCTGCGGTGGGAGACTGCTCGAGGCACCGCTGGGGGCCTGCGTTGGTGATTGTGACAACACACTCGTGAGAGGAGCAACCGCTGTTCTTGGTGGAATTACTATGTCCGGCTTAGGGATGTGAGCATTCAGGTGCTGCAGCTCAAATTCCTCCACTTTAGCAATGTAGTCTTTCGCCGTCCCCATCAGTAACTTGAACACCTCCGAGGTCATGGATATTGACTTCTTCACCCTCTGCTGTTCCAATTATTAAGGTGTGTATATATAACTCCATTAAAGCTATTCATTGAGAGGTAATGTCCCTCAGCAAACTGATACATGTTGCTTTCAGTTATTTTACATATTTAATAATATTACTCAAAGTAAAACAAATAAAATTTAAGACTTACCTAAATGAGAACAATACAGAGTTTGCATATACACTCCGCTGTTGTCATCACATCACTATTGCTTTCTCATTTAAATAAATCCAGTGTTAGTCTTTTCAGTTTCACTGAACATTTGGTCTTTAAACTCAATGTTTCTGGCCTCTTCACGTTCGCTTTCTTCGCCTTCTCTTCCTTTCTCTTTCGCGTTCTCTGACGTGCCCATCCCTTATTCAAAACACAATAACTGTAGTTGTGATATATTCCGCTCCAATTAAATGTAGTTCTCCATAGCAGTCGAAAGTTACATGAGGATGAATATGCAGTCATGGCACAAATACCTTTTATTGTTATAACTTGATATGCAATTGGTGCAGGGAGAATTCCATATGAACTTGATATGAACAAACATACACTTATAAAAATCATTTACACAAATTACGCATTAATTGATTAACATAAGGTAAACTAAAATTTGCTTACCATGCGAATAGGGCGTTGGTCTGTTCGCATGAATTGGTGCTGGATATGGTGATGGTAGAGCGATATAATAGGCTATAATGACCCGGTCGGTTCATGGGAGTGGGTGATATTGGTTGTCCATGACCAACAGGTGGGTGGCCTGTCGGTGGCCTGATCTGGTTTCCATGTCCAGCTGGTGGTATTGGAGCCTGCGGTGGGAGACTGCTCGAGGCACCGCTGGGGGCCTGCTGTGGTGATTGTGACAACACACTCGTGAGAGGAGCAACCGCTGTTCCTGGTGAAATTAATATGTCTGGCTCAGGGATGTCAGCAGGCAGGTGCTGCAGCTCAAATTCCTCCACTTTAGCAATGTAGTCTTTCGCCGTCCCCATCAGTAACTTGAACACCTCCGAGGTAATGGATATTGACTTCTTCACCCCTCTGCTGTTCCAATTAGTAAGGTGTGTATATATAACCCCATTAAAGCTATTCATTGAGAGGTAATGTCTCTCAGCAAACTGATACATGTTGCTTTCGCTCATTTTACATATTTTATAATATTACTCAAAGCAAAACAAATAAAATTTAAGACTTACCTAAATTAGAACAATACAGAGTTTGCATATACACTCCGCTGTTGTCATCACATCACTAATGCTTTCTCATTTCAATAATTCAAGTGTTAGTCTTTCCAGTTTCACTGAACATTTGGTCTTTACACCCAATGTTTTCAGCCTCTTCACGTTCGCTTTCTTCGCCTTCTCTTTTGCGTTTTCTGACGTACCCGTCTCTTATTCATAACACAATAACTGTAGTTGTGATCTATTCCGCTCCAATTAAATGTAGTTCTCCATAGCAGTCGAAAGTTACACGAGGATGAATATGCAGTCATGGTACAAATACCTTTTATTATTATAAATTGATATGAAATTGGTGCAGGGAGAATTCCATATGAACTTGATATGAACAAACATACATTTACAAAAATCATTTACACAAATTACGCATTAATTGATTAACATAAGATAAACTAAAATTTGCTTACCACGCGAATAGGGCGTTGGTCTGTTCGCATGACTTGGTGCTGGACATGGTGGTGGTAGAGCCATAATTGGTTGCCCATGACCCGGTTGGTTCATGGGAGTGGGTGATATTGGTTGTCCATGACCAACAGGTGGGTGGCCTGTCGGTGGCCTGATCTGGTTTCCATGTGCAGCTGGTGGTATTGGAGCCTGCGGTGGGAGACTGCTCGAGGCACCGCTGGGGGCCTGCGTTGGTGATTGTGACAACACACTCATGAGAGGAGCAACCGCTGTTCCTGGTGGAATTACTATGTCCGGCTCAGGGATGCTCAAGACAGGAAGCAATGATAGAACTGATCTTAACAGTTCATATTTATATCAACTCTTTTTAATCACGTGATGATCACATCGTAAGGAATTACACAAACTTAACCGTGTATCAGACAATTCAATTTTGCCCTTTTCAAAATTGTTGTGTCAGGTTAACAGTAAATTTATTAACTTGGGATGTAGAAATTTCACGTGAAAATTTTACAAGAATACTTTAGCGATGTAGTCTTTCACCGTCCCCATCAATAACTTGAACACCTGGGAAGTCATGGATATTGACTTCTTCACCCCTCTGCTGTTACAATTAGTTAGGATGTCAAAACAGGAAAGGACCTTTTTAGTAGTGGTAATTATCATTTAATCATTGATTTTTTAAAGGAGATAGATCTGTTAAATGAATTTTGATATATGTTTTGTAAATAGATAAGGTTTTATAATTGGTAGTTTAGATTATCAACTTCGATTGTTAGTGGCTGTACCCTCAAAGGGGGTTGAAGTATTGTAAAATTATTGTCGCCCTGAGGGGGTACGTAAGTCCCAAAACATTTAGAATAAATTTAGGCTTACCACGTTTTTAATCGTAGAATATATGTGCTTTTAATTCATGGCTAGATTTCTCTTCTGTCGCCAATGGCTGAAGGGATGGTGTAAATCCAACTAGGGTCCATGCAGGTAGCAAAAGTAATGTAAGTCCCCATGGTCCCTAGTATGGTGATCTACCTTCAGTTGTTGGTGATCTATAGCCTGTTTTTATATTGTGTTGTCCCCTATAGTTAGATTGTTTTAGACTTAATTACTAGTTTTTCATGTATGTCTGTGTTATTCTAGTTGTTTTATTGTCCTTTGATGACAGGTTTGTTATAATATACATATATTCCATTACAATGCCACATGTGTTCTCGTCACGATATGGCTGAAATATTGCCGATGTATCGTTAAATATTAACTCACTCACTCACTCACTTACAATTAGTTAGGTGTGTATATACAACACCATTAAAGCTGTTTACAGAGAGGTAATGTCTCTTTGCAAACTGATACATGTTGTTTTCGGTCATCTTAAACACTCAAGACAGGAAGGAATGATAGAACTGATCTTCACAGTTCATATTTATATCAACTCTTTTTAATCACGTGATGATAAGATCGTGAGGAATTTGCTTTTCCCACACAAACTTAACCATTGTCATTGAGCTCTGGATGATGGAAATCGTGATAAATTCACTCTTCAAGACCTTTCTTGAAGCAAAATGACAAAACATTTTACCCTGTCATCCTTACTTTGGAAATGTTATTCAAAATGTAGACAAAGGTCCTGCCGCGTGATGTTCAGATCGTGAGAATTTTTGCAATCCCTCACAAACCTATCCTTTGAAATCAAGACATGTGCCAAAGATATTTTGAGACTGATTGTGTTCACAAAAAGAGTTTCTTAATCTAAGTTTTCTCCACTCATCCTCAAATTCATTTTCATGATGTACACAATGAGACTTGTTTGACCGCACCAATGATGATCTTATTTAACTGCAAGGTTCTCACGAACAACGTCACGATGTTTTATTAGGTAGAGAATCTAGAACCCCAACCCTCACCTGATTCACAATGAGTTAGCAAGATTTCAATACCTCACAAGTTACTGAATCATCATCACGTACCCAGATCCTTCATTCCTGACATATCTATGTACCATAAGACATCACGGTAACTATTCATGTCACAGTCATCTTCAACGATGGAGTTTCTCTCCAATAATGATGTATGCATCTTCAACGATGGATCAAACACCTACCTCCATCCTGCCACTGGATCATACTCTGCTCTCGATCTATCACTTACAGATTCTAATCTTTTAAATGAGTTTGAATGGTCGGTCCATGACGACCTTTGTGGAAGCGACCACTTCCCAACAATTGTTACTCCTATCAACCCCATGGATGAACCACCATCAACAAGATGGAATTTTACTAAGGCCAACTGGCCTTTATTCCAAACCCTATGTTCAGAAAAACTTAAGCCGGACAACTTCAGGAATGTTCCTGACCCCATGGAACTATTTTCAGACGTCCTAAATGCCATCGGAGACAAACTATTCCCAAGTCCTCTGCAAACCCGCACATACGCAAACCATGGTTTGATACAAACTGCAAACAAGCTAGGAAAAATAGGAAGAAGGCGGAAAAATATTTCCGACAACATCCTACAGTGCATAACCTGAATGCTGTTAAAATGACAAATGCCAGGGCAAAACGTACCTTCAAACAAACTAAACGCCGGTCATGGAGGAAATATGTGTCAAAAATCAACTCCCGCACACCTATGTCCAAGGTGTGGAACATCATTCAAAAGATTAAGGGCAAAGGGTCAAAATCAGGAGTTCCCCACCTGAAAGATGGTGACTCCCTCCTAACAAATAAATCTGAAATTGCAAACAAACTTGGCGAAACTTTGGCAAACCACTCCTCCTCATCAAATTATAACCCTCAGTTCCAGAAATATCAAACCCAACAAGAAAAGAAACCAGTCAATTTTAACTCTGATAATGGGGAGGATTACAACGAAACGTTTTCCCTCCATGAATTATGTACTGCCCTAGGACAGGCTCACGACACTGCGGCAGGAGCTGATGAAATCCATTATCAGCTTCTGAAACACCTCCCTGACACAGGCTTGGAAACACTCCTAAATATATTTGATGACATCTGGACATCCGGACACTTCCCCCCTTCGTGGCACTCAACTGCAACTCATGTAACGCAACATATTATTGTAACGACATACACTGCAACTTTTCTGAAGAGGAGTAAGTTTCTCTTCCTGATAGAGATCTTCCATGATTGGTTGATCTATGACCCCACTGGATGGATCAACAGCAATTATGTCTGTGACTCGTTTCTCGTACTGTTCTATGTTCTCCATGAGTTGAGTGTAATCCAACCACATGTCATTTAAGGTGGGTTCATCAACCATGAGGGATGGAAATGTCACTGCTTCAGTATCTTCAACTCTGTCCCTAAATAATTATAAAGAGAAAACAAATAATATTGCCATTAAGAACCGCAAACAC